CTCTGAGCATTTATAGAATCTCAGACAAGACAAATCTCAGGAATCATCAGAATTGAATTTGAAAATGTAGAATTCCACGTTTCCACAGAAAAAGCTCATGTCTGTTAAATTTACATATCATAAACATAGTTAACAACTTAATTTGTCACAGACATTAACTCAGATAAAATCAAGGACAAAACAACCAGTTTACGATTTGCACTTTTTTGTTTTATTCACCTTCAGAGTCAGCTCAGTGAACACTCCCAGTAGAACAGAGAGCAGTTTGGCTGTGGCTCTGTGAGTGGCAGCCATTTCAGTGACATAATACTGTGCCAGCTTGGTATACTGGTCCAGTGCTGGGATACAGAGAGACAGGAGGTCACACTTGGGGTTCAGCAACTGTGACATTGCTGGGGTGGTCTTGACTTCAATCAGGAGAGACTGAACACCGGCGATTACCTGTGTTGGAAAAATTCATAAAATCAAAATTATCTGCTTAATCTCAGTGTTTAGCTGTTTTATTTTGACTCATTATCTTATCAACAGACCTTACCTTTTAGATACCACAGAAAAAAAGGAATTATCAATGAATGAAAATGATACAAGGAGGGACCAAAAAAGCAACAGCTATGTATTTTCCAGGCTTGAAAAGAGGTTCAATAAAGTCTCCAAACATTTATCATATGGGACAAAAAAAAAAAAAAAAAAAAAAAAAAAAAAAAAAAAAAAAGGGGGTCCCTATTCAGTGATTCCATGGAAAAAAGCTTATCTGTTTATCAGATGAATAGAAATCTGACCCATTTTCAACTTACCTTTTCCATTCCAATATTCGCAACAGCTTTCTCCAACTTTGCTTGAAGTTCTGTCAAATGGCCATCTTTCAAATCAATTCCTTCATCCTCCTCTTCTCTCTCCTCTTCACCCTCTTCCATTGCTTCATTTCCTATTAACTTCACCAGATTTTGCACACCAAGCAGAATGGTTGTAATAACATCATTCAACTTAGTTCTAAATGTTCTGATACTATCTTGTATGGTTTCCTCTGAGAACTCGTCCCATGATCTTTCTTTGTTTAGCCAAGCTGAGTATGCATTGGCTGTGTTTGTGATCTGCTGTATTAAATAGTTCAATGAGCTGTTCAAACTGTTCAAAGCACCACCGGGAGCAGAAAATAGTGCAGCTACTTCACTCAGGCTTGGCACTAGAGATGACAGTTGCTGAAAAGCTGTATTGATTCTCTTTACTTTGCCTCTGAAATGCAATTTAAAAAGCTTTCAGACTGTTTTTATCAAACACCAACAGTCTGTAAAAAAATACTTTACCAATACAAAGTGCACCCAAGAGATGATAAAGCAGAACTCTACACTGTTTTAATCCATTAAACATTAAAACCTTAAGATCATATTTCAGAGGCTAGGATAGTAAGTGTAATTATATAAGCATTATATATAAACCCTACTTACAACGACACCAGCTCAGCTTTATTTTCTGTCCTTGCTTCTTTCGTCACTTCTTCTATCTTATTTATTATGATCTGTGTTAAAAAATGAAAGTCATATTCAACTTTCAGATCTATAATTTTTTATACTTATTCAGTGGGCCTCTTGATGCATATCATTATTTAAATACTCTTAATATCTCCAATCATTAATACATAAAAACATGTTATTTGAATTATTTTTCCTGAAAGGAGGATTTTTGATCTCACCTGCAGTTTGTCCATAGTTTCTGTCCATGTTCCATCCCCCTTGCACACCAGTGCTATGCCAGCTAGGTGCTGTGAGGGGAGCACAGAGGGGTAGACGGTGTCCCCAGCACATTTCTCTGGGCAGCAGTAGAGTAGAATATGGACCTGCTGCAAGGTCTCCCAGGCTGTGATCAACAGGTCATCTAGAGCACACTGAAAGTGATGTGGTTCATTTCATTTCTATATTCAGACTGTGCAGAGTATAAGTTTGTATACATAAATTTACAGAAATATACATATTTAAACTTTCATTTGCATATTATAAAAAATTCACATTTTATATAGCATTTTAACTGTAAGTTATTATGGATATAAAATCATCATTTCAACACCTTTAATTCCAAGTACCAAATTTGATAACAGTGCATGCTTACCACCCAGTGTTCTGCATCCTTTTGGTCTGGTAAAGCAGGTACATGTTCAGGCAGAGGATGTTTGGGCAGGCAAGTAGACAATGTACTGTAAAAGCACCTGCAAGAAGCAATAAGAAGTGTACATCTAGGTTATTTTTTCTTTCTTACCATGATTTTATTAAAACAGTTTAAGTCCCTCTGCCTTTTATGGGCATTTTTTATGGGTTGCCATTATCAACTATAAATTCTATGGATAAGTTTTATCTGTAACTTTTTCAGTGGTCAAATATAAGACAGTATTAAAAGCAATTTGTGGTTGGTACAAATAATTGGGTGGTTCTATTTCGTGGTTTGGTCATTATCTATTGAGTCATTTTTTTTAGGAAATGATAAGTTGGAATGACTTAATTACCATTAATTTTAAAAACAGAAAAAAATAAAATCTTTGAAATCTAAGTAAAGTAATGCTTCCTCTCATTTAGTCATGCTTGTTCATTTTTTAAAAATCAGAAATACTTCAATAACTGGCAAACATACAAAAGTGCACCACTCCAGAAGTTCTACATTCAGTCACTGAGAGTAATGTGAGATTGATAAAAAATGTTGCTCGTTTGTGCCCCCCCTCCCCCCCAAAAAACAAAATTGCATTAAACAAAATTTTAGACGTATTAAGTGCTAAAAATACACAGGGTTAAAACAAACTGTCATCCTCATAGGTATCATTTCAAGTCAGAAATAGAATTACTTCTGATAAGGAAAAACATCCTGTATAATCACATCCTAGGCATTTTTCCTCCTCATTTAAAGATCTAAAAACTGGAAAATAGTGAGTAAAAACAATGATAAATTAATTGTTTCCTGTCATGAGTCAGTGTTGTTGATCATGTGAAGGTGAAGTGAAGGTCATTTGCTGGTTATAAATACTCAGAGCTTCATGCTAGGTGCCCTATTACGCAGTTTTGTTACATGCATAATGGCAATTGTTGCAATGATGTGCAATTTTGTAATTTGCTCCCTGGCTTTTTTGCTAATGACTGCAAGCAGAAATCAAGCCTTTGGTAAGTACATACCATAAAAATACAAAGTTGAGTTCTCTTAGCTTAAATTTTGTTCAGTATCCATATGGATACTGTAGCACAATTATAACTTACAAGATGTTTTCTGGCAGTATTTTGTATTTTAAATTTCATTTCCAAAAAGTGGATATAATTTAATTGTACTGATTTTTGATGCAAAAAATTCAACAGACAGTAAGTACCATATAGGCATTAGCACTTTTTTTAGGTTTTTACATCTTTACAAAGTCATACATTTTAATTAGTTTTTACTTTTTTATTTTAGAGTAAAATTTTACAAGTGCTTTGTAAATGTGTCTCACTCTCTCTTCAAAAGATATATCTACTGACTTGAGAAATTATGAACTTTGACAATGTCTTTATTCAAGAAGTAAAAATCGCATTTTTTCTTTTGACTGGTAATTTGAATTTTCATCCAATGCAGGCAACCAGTGTGGTGGCTCTGTGTCAGGAAACTGTTATGTAGATCCTCAGAACTGTGAGGGATGTGACAACAAAGTAGCAATTGGCAACAGTTACGTGTGCTGCCCAGGTTGCTCAGAGAAACCCAAAGTGACAACAACAACTTTCCAATTTTTTCACATGCAGTATAGCTTCAACACCTGTCAATGCCCAGCTTTAACAAATGAAGTGCAGGTATGTCGCAATATAAGGCTGTAGTTATATTTAAGTCATCGCAATAAACTAGGTTCTTCTTAAAAGCATATCACAACATTTAAAAGGACACAAAAGAGGATTTTCGCGCCAAAATTGATTTATCCTGATTTATCCCGAGGTTAACACTACTTTTCCGCGATTTACCAACCTTTAATCTATCATTCCCGGCACTCGCCATCGCTCTGTAACATTTTTGGAAAATACAATAAAAAGAAAACCTCCGCTTAAGCGGAGGTTTACCAACAACCACCTCCATTTTCATAATTGAGCTCTCTAGACTTCCGGATATCGCGAGATTCTCGTATTGCGACCTAGTTAAAACTAGTTCAAGCTGCCGGGAAAGCACATGGAACAGGAGGCTGAATTAGTTGAGACTCCATCGAAGAAGGGAAGAAAGATAACAAAAAG